AGTATTTTGGTCCAGGCAGTGGTTCATTAATGCCTTTTAGGGAAGGAAGTCTGTTGGCCTCACCTGGTCTGGCCTACGCAGGTCTTCAAACCCACAGTAAAGTGGCTGATTCTTAACTACTTCTGAAATGGCTACCAGTCGGTGCAAGGGCAACAGCGGGGACAATAAATGTTGACCTGGCCAGTCCACATCCCATGAACAAATTAAAAAGAAAATGTTGCTGTATGAAAGTGCAAAATTTATTTCAAAAAGGATTTCCAGTTCCAGTTTATAAATTTAATGAGGAATGGCAAATTAATAGCTTGTGGGTAGAAAGGGGTGGATAAGAAGTTCAGGGAAAAAGTCAAACTCCGCCCAATAAGTTGTAAAATACCAGTCAGTTTCATTGGTATTTTGGGACAGTGCTTGATAATTTAGCACTGGAAATCCAACACAATGCCAGATCACTTGGGAACATTTGGTACCACATTCTATGAATACTGCAGCCAGTAGTTTTCAGAATGAACCTATTTATAATTTCGCAGCTAATTTTTGTCACTTTCCTTCCCATTGTATTCACACTGTATTCAGCTCTGCATGACAGGATAAGTACCGATCTGCTACAAGGAGCTCGGTCACTGCCACCAGTAGCTTGTCAAATGAAAGCTTGCATTCATATGGTGCTTTTATTGTAAAACATTCCAAAACACTTTAACAAAGATGTATCTTTTTCTCTTAAAGAAAAGAACACCAAGATAAAGGAGATATCAGATTGAGTGGCCAAAAGCTTAATAAAGAGGGTCTTAAAACAAAAGGGTGGGGAAAACATTTAGTGACTGAATGTGAAAGCGTGAAGCTACAACGTCATCGCAGAAGGTTGATAGAGGGAAAGGGAAATATGCACAGGAGGCCAGAGTTGAACGAAAATAGTGTGTAGGGAAATTGAGTTGTATAGCTTGAAGAAGTCACATGAGAGAAGACCAAAGCCATGAATGGATTGAAACACAAAAGGATGACCATTTTACTTTGCATTATTGAGCAGCCTAAAGGCAATTCAAATTGTTACAACCTTGGAGGAGACCAGCGGCTTTTATTTTCAGAAAAAGATGAAAACCAAAACCCCAGCTGTTTACTAAAAGATTAAAGTCACAAGATTCCTTGGTTTAAAGCAGAAGAATTGCTCCAGGAGACAGTCCAGTCAGCAAAGTCCTTCAAAAGTTTGTCTCAATGGAGAATTTCAACTACTCTCCTAAAGTTAGCCAACAACAGCACAGAACCAACCAGAGTTCCATAGGCACTGTTTTACTAAAAACTGCACATTTCTATAGGGTCTCCTCATCCTGATCTAAATGGCATAAGATCCACCAATGATATTTTCAAGTTGACAAAATAGCTGTAGCAACTATGTATTTGCTTATTCTCAACTTCAGGATCTTGTTCTGATCTTCCTCAGTTTGCTTGTACTGCCCAACTGGACTTATTGATTTCTACTGAGCTTGGATTGATCAGTGTCCTTTAAAATGTTTAACACAATTTCTGTCCTCCTAAAAATTTTGAGTTCCAATCTTAGTATCATTTTTCATTTTGTTAGAAACTGGGATTGTCAGTTTTTTTTTAAAAAACGCCAGTCTCCTTTCCCAGGTAGGGGCTAATCAACAAGAAAAAAACACTAGTCTCGAAAACACAGATTCGAACACCACTGCTGAGCGGCGTAAAGGCGATGAATGCGACACATAATGCCGACTGGTTAGGAGCAGCATGGTTTTGGACGATCTAACATTTATGGTTGGAAAGGCTGATCAGTCAAGTCTATTTTGGGCAAAAAGCATTAATGATGAAAGTTCTAGCAGCATGGGCAATATCACACGTGGTTGTTATAAGCAGGGAGGACAGTCAGGATATTGTGACGATTCAAGAGTGTTGCAGGGGCACAGATTCCCTCTTCCTGGAATGTCACATTTCACCCCGACCTCATTCACTTCAAACATATAGTTACAGACACTGATGATAAACACAATCATATTATTTAATTGTACATTTATGATTACTCAATATTTGAAACTAAGTAAAATAACCTGAAGGGTGCTTTTTACTACATCAGTAAAGATATTTCTATTCAAGTATTCAAAACAATTAATCTGTGCAACTAAATTCTTGCACAAGATATACATTTTAAAAAGTTAAATGTTTACCACCAAAACGACTGAAAAAGGAAGTACAGTTTCTAAAAAAATAACTAATTATTTCTTCTGAAAAAGTATACGGCATAAACTTCATTTGGAAATAAATTAGCATGTCTCAGAAGATGGTGAGATCATTTAGTATAATGGAGTGTTGAAGTGAAGTTGAGAATGCATTAATATAGGAGCCAATCATGAATGCAATGCCCTTAACCCAAGTAATGAAAAAAATCAGCTTTTTAAATCTTAATTCCTTGGTCACAAGTTCTGTTGTACAAAGCTCTTGAAACCTGTTACAATAGGATAAAGATTTTTTGTTGCATTTGCCCACAATTTCATCCTCTTTAACCAGAGCAATTTTGACTTGGTACGCTTCCAGAACATTGAGCACAAAATGTTCTCACTTGCTTTCTTAATGTATACTAAAAATAACAATTTTGACCTCATTTACAAATAATATTTCAAACTAATGTATTTCTAAGAACTAAATTAATTTTAAAAGAACCAAAACAGCTTCCAAAGAATTGTGGTCTGCTTCATTAAAACTAGGGTCAACTAGGGATGGCCAACAAATAACATCTTGAAGCTACACAAAGCCTGAAATAACTTGAGGCTAATTCCATCACCAAGTCACCCTTTTCCTTACATGTGGAGAGAATCCTCGGCACTGTTCCAGCTCCCTCAGAGCCCAAAGGATGTTGACACCCCCTGTTCTTATCTGTCAGCCAGGGATCCAGAATTGAGGCTGTTAATCTGGTCCAATCAGGGAACTCATTCTGAGGTCCACATGGCTGACCTCACTACAGTTACTACATCCCTGCCACGCCTGAGGTCATAGGCTGGTTCATTCTCTTGTAGCAGCTCCTGCAGCGTTTTAGCACTGGGTCTGGTTCCTCCAACTGTGCCTCTGATATGGGCAGCACGTAACACATAGTAGCTCGCCTCTTGTGCCCGGAGCACCTTCAAACAAATTTATTCCCTTTTTCAGATGGCAAAGGCGTTGAGTTGGCTACACCTGCCTTGTCCATCTCAGATTCTGAGGTATCTTCAATGTTCAATGGAGAGGAAGAACCCACAGGCTCCGAACAGTCAGAATGCCTGTCAAGGAGCCGGGCATGTATTGCTCCTGCACTGTTTGAGAGTTTACAGCTTTCATATGGTCCGTGCGCTTATTCAGGATCATCACACCTACCTGAACCTTATAAGTCACTGGGCCTGACCTAGTGTTGACCATCCCTCTTACACATGCAGGGCTATTCTCATGGTTCCTACGCCAAACTTCATCCCTTGAAGTAAAGTGTGTCTCTCGTTTAGTGGAGTCGTGATCAATATTTTTTTCCATAGAATCCCAAATGTTGGAACAGCCCCTTCGGCCCAACAAGTCCACACTGGCCCTCAGAGGTTCCCATTCCCCAAACCCACCTAAGCTACACATCCCTGAACACTATGGGCAATTTAGCATGGCCAATCAACCAAGACTGCACATCTTTGGACTGTGGGAGGAAACCGGAGCACCTGGAGGAAACCCACAGACACGGGAAGAATGTGCAAACTCCACACAGACAGTTGCCCGAGCAGGAATAGAATCCAGGCCCCTGGCGCTGAGAGGCAGCAGTGTTAACCACTGAGCCACCGTGCTGCCCCCGTGCTAGACACGTGTCCAGCATTAGCATTCCTGAGGCCGTTTCAACCTTCCACAAACTGGACTGATGATTCCTTTACTTTCCAACCTTCTGATTCCTGCTTCTACTTTTGCACACAATGCAAATGGGACTGGGCTGGCCTTGCAGAATTGTGGAAATGCTTCCTGGTCAATGTGCAAGCTGGTCTTGTCTCCTTTGAAAGTCCCTAGACCTTCCTGAAAAACCTCTAGGTATTCAATTAGGACCTCACTCAGGCAG